ATTGGCCTCTTTAAAGAGTTTCTATAGCTGACATTTTGAGCTTTAGCCCTTTGTTAGAGCAAAAGTGTAAACTGGCCTATGTAAAGAGTTACTAAAGATGATGTTTCAAATGTTAGTCCTTTGTAAGAGCAAAAGTGTGAATTAGCCACAGTGAAGAGTTTCTTTGAGCATTCGCCCTTCATCAGAGCAAATGGATATTAAGTATCAACTCAGTAAATAAAACCAAATGATCCTGTTGATGTACTTCTTGTCACGAGGTAATTGTCAATACATGAACAGCAGCCTACCTGCCGCAGGCTCTCATGGGTGCTACAGCACTGAGCAGTGATTCACAGCAAGACGTGAGCAGCAAGACACAAAACAGCAAGGGAAGGGGCCTTGTTAGTGGGCATGTAATATACAATAAATGTAGGATTCCAAGTATTTCTTTTTTGCCATGGAAAAATCGCAACAATGTAAATGCTTTTCATGGAATGTGAACATCTACATTTGCCACTGATTAGGCCGTACTAGAATAACCAACCATAGTTTGGCAAGTTAGTCTTTTTTAATGACAGTAAAAGCAGGCAGGGAGTGGTGGTTTAAGAGCCAGTGCAAATACACCTAACTACTTTCTTCCTCTTGAAAGTTATATTCTCTCTTCTTACAACAACAACAACAACAACAACATTTATTTATACCTGTCCAACAAGAAGGAAAAAGTAATACACAGATTTTGAAACTTAAGAGTAAGGTATTAGCTGCCTATAATAACCATAAGCAAGGCTGTGCTCAAAGGAAAATTGAATGTAGCCCAGTGCTCTGAAACTGTGAAATCCAGGGTGCCCAGCATATGCTTTGTGTAAAAAACTAAAATTCCTGAGTTTCCCAAGAGCAAAAGTAAGGCACCAGGGACCACTGGACACTGCTAGACCACAGCCTTGATAAGAGCTAGGAAAATTAGGCAGCTATCTATGAAACACAAATTAGAAAAGATTTAATGGTCATGTGTATTACTCTCCCCATCAACCCTTCTCTACTTTGAAAATAAATCTGGAAACATGGCTATACATTTTGAAGAATAAAGATTGGGCAAAGACTTTCCCAAAAATACGATGGCACTGCAGACTCTTCACCTAATACAGCAAAAAAACCAACAGGAATTCACGGTGAGTACCTGACTTTCCTGTACGTTCCAGTTCCCCAAGCAGAGTCACCGTGAACAAAGTCAGCCTGGAAGAAGAAATAATAAGAGTCTTTAAATAGTCCAGTTGCATTACCTTTCTCTTTGTAGCACTTCAGTTACTTCCTTGTGAAGTAAATCATTTTGCATTATACTTTATAAATAATACAATATCAAAAAAAAAAACTACATCAACAAATACAAAGTCAAGAATTACCAGACAACATCTCTACTTGTATCAAATATCTCTGTTGTAATATAATGAAGCTACAAGTAGCCCATCAGAAGCATGCCTGCTTTGCGTGATATGTAGCACACAGTATATTTAATTCACTCAAATGCAAAACCAATACTTTCACAACATGACTTTTGAGGACATTGACTTAGTCTTTTCCTTACATTCACATCTTGTTTCATCACAAAGAAATAAAAGGAAGCTACATTCAGTACCTTATTGTCCTGTGGTGAGGTCTTTTCTGCATGAACACTTCGTCGTCTCGCTGTCTCAGTTGAACTCAAAGGTAACTTCATCAATCTAGAACTGTGGCTGAAAGGAGAGATTGACAATCTGTTGATACTGAGGTGGTTAACTGCAGCATCTATTGGCTTACTGGCATAGTACACATGTCCACGTAGGAAGTATACTATCCTCAGTAACATCATTATTGTGCAAACATATCACATAACAACATAGCTCCTATCCTGGCAGTATCCAAGAAGTTTATCACCATGAACCAAGTTAAATAGCCCAGCATGCCATGAGTCTCCTATAGCTTAGCGGTAGAGCAACAACAGTAATAATTGGTAGATCATGGGTTTGCCTCCTTTTGAAAGCACTTGCAGTTCTTTGTGTCATTCACAGAATATTACATTGTCCTTCACTAATAAATATACAGCTGTAGGAAAAAAATTCCTTTGCTCTGATTGGCTGATAGAAATGTAGTTTTCAAGTATCAGAAGGCCAAAGGAAAGAAACAGTGCAGAAAATAGTTTTTAGCAGCTCAGAAAAAATGGTAAAAGAACCTTTAGCAGAGCTTCAATGAAAGAAATGTTACTAGTTTTCAAGAATCAGAAAGCCAAAGGGAAGAAATACAGTGCAGAAAATAGTTTTTAACACACCAGAAAAATTGGTAACAAAACCTTTAGCAGAGCTTCAAAATTTTTTGCCCCTCACAATCTTAACCTTTTACAGCCTAGCATCAGTATGCAAACACTCCATACTGTTCTCTATATACCTTTCCTAAGATTTTGACATGGAGAATTTGTTTAAAAATCAAGAGTTGCTTTAGTTTGTGATCATTTCCTCTAATTTTGTGACTTGAATGTTTGATTCAGGGGTGATCTTATACTGTAGGGAAGAATTAGATGCTGGGCACTCTTAGAGGGTTAAAAAATATGAAAATTGTCCTTTTTGATTGCAGTTATTTAGACTTAATACTCAGAGATGTTTCTAGATGAGTTATGTTTGCATGGAATTAGAGCCCTCTACTTCTGCAAGATCTGAGCTCATGAACAGCTATCTAAAAATTTCTTTATATGTATCATTAATGAGTAATCACATTTACTTTATCATTTTCGGGCAATTTGAAATTAAAATAAATAAGAACTCATAGCCTTTTTCACACTACAGTTTCTTTACACATTTCCTGAGATGCTGACAAGGAGAATTAGATAAAAAATCAAGAGCTTTTCAAGTTTGTGATCATTTCCTTAACTCTCATGAGCCGAATGTTTGATTTAGCAGTCATAACTGATGCTAGTTTAACCCTCAGGAGTTAAAGGGTAACAAAATGAAACCTCATGTCTTTCGTTCCTCTTTTTTTCTACACCAAGGCTCTACTTTTTAAAGCAAGCGAAGAGAAAGTTGACACTTTCACAAGGATCTAAGTTACATTATATAAGTAACAAGCTACTAGAAGGATTGAGTGATACAATATTTAGGGTTATAAAGTAACAAAACTAAAAAACATAAAGAATTTAAAAATGGAATTGTGATTATTTGCATTTTGTTTGCCCCAGACTTTTTGAATATTTGTTATTATAACATTCAGTGTCAATAAACAAGAGTACCTGATGAACACTGGCCAATTTTCCATTTGCTTTCTTACATTTTGCTGACAGAAATGAATTTACAAAGTCACACTAAATCAATATAACTTTTAAAATTATCATAGTCTGTGAAGATGTGTAGCACAACTCCAAGACGAACAGACAGACCGTTCAAAAACATATTGAGGGCGACCAGATCATTCCCTGAATGAAACTCTTCAAAATTGTATGGAAAACAGAAGAATTAGTTTTCAGCGTGAATATCCATTTGCTTTTGGCTAAATACTTATAGCTTGCGTTTTTTAAACATTTCATTCAGGTTTTTCCTAAAAATTACAGAACTACATTTAAAACGCACCATAAACCTGCTTGAATGTATTATAACACGCGAGTACGTGCGGTTTATCCAAAATACACTTAAGGTCACTGGTGTTGTTAGGATGTAATGTATTACAAAGAGAAAAATACGTGAATTTTTGAACAATATCAAAGCCCATCTGCTTCGACTTTTCGTCAACGAACACTATTAAAAATTGACTACAATATAATTCATATCCGCCTTATGTCTTTCCGTATGGCACACGACATCTTAAAAAGCCGCAAAAAAGATTAGTCGCTTCAGAACAAACAAATACGATTTACACTCTCGTCAATCTGTCGTCTGGGAAACTGGATATGGAGCGCCGGTCTTTGCGCATTTTTGCTTAAATAAACAATTCCTGTATATTTTGACTCGATTAAAAGGTGGACTCTTCACCTCAAAATTTCAGACGATAAACACCTACCTTAATAAGTGACTGATATTTTGAAAGAAATTTCGACGCCAAATTCTCTTACCTTGAAGTTTCGTACTGCGACTGCGGGAGACCATATTCGTCAGACGGATAATAGCTAAAATTACTTGGCCCTGAAATATTGGATCAAACAAGAAAAACATCAGGTTAAAGCAAGTCGAGCTGACTAGCATAGAAGTAAATGTCTGATTAATACTCTCACGAGTCGGATAGCGATTTGTGCGTGAAAAACAAATGATAATCCATTTAACTAAGCTTGGCTGTTGATGGAGGTCTCTGGGTGTGAGCCATGTCGGAAAAATCCCTCAATTCGCAGACGTTTATCACTAACAGATTACCTGAAGGACTCGTGTCAGACGTGTACCAAGTAGTCATATCTCATAAATGTTATTTTTGGAGTTTGGTAGAATCATGACACGGTTTTGTTGATAACATTTCCTTTGTTTGTATTACCAGAGTTGTCCGCCATCATTGAAATTGCCAATCTTTGATGCCTAAATGACGTCACGAACCGTGGGCTCACTGAGTTATTCCATGGACTCCGTGTTTCTCCGTGATTGTGATGGGAGCGTGATCCACCGTGATCCCAGTGTGAAAGGAAATGTCAGTCGTTCTCATCATTTAACGTTGCTCGGCCGTTACCATAACCCGTTCCCGTCCTTATGACTCATCTAATCATTTTGCTTGTCAACTGAACAATCAGGAGCTCTCCTGATGTCGCACAGATTGTTTCTCACTGATGTTGAAGATATAACATCGAACAATGATAAAAAAAAACAACAACAACATTCAGGAAAAAGTGGCCTTAATATCGGTGGTTGCTTCAGTCCGTCAAATCACAGGAAGCCCACACAAGCGATATATCTGGTCGTTTGTTCGAAATATAAAGAAATGTATGGGAGAAT